ACCACCACTACTCCTCCTCTCTCTCTCTCTCTCTCTCTCTCTGTGTGTGCGTGTCTTCGCAACGCGATGCGGAGATGGAGCAGGACGAGTGTACAGCTCTTCCTCTTCCTGGTCGTCTTCTCCCTCTTGCTGCTCTTCTCCATTGTCCACGACGAGAGAGCCTTAAGAACTCGAGAGGCCTCCACCGCACAGCCCTCGTTCCCCACCCACTTTGTCACAGAGACTTTTGGTGAGATTGCCTTTGCTCCTCTCATCATTGCCTTGATCTCATCATGCACTTCTCTGATCTTTGTCAGATGGTCTGGATTGGTCGAACGCGTGTACTACGGTCAGGAGCTACAGAGGCAAATCGAGCCCGGCGGCGGAGCGCCGATGGCAGCAAAAGAGCAGGGAGGAAGGATGCGATGTGTTCTCCGGGAGGTGGGTGTATGACAACAGTTCACACCCCCTGTACGAGGAAGCTTCATGCCCTTACATGTCGGACCAGTTGGCGTGCCGGAAGCATGGCCGGCCGGATGAGGAGTACCAGAGGTGGCGATGGCAGCCTCATGGCTGCAACTTGAACAAGTACGTCTTCTCCGCCATCCCTGTTTACATGATTCTTCTACTGTGTTTGGTTGCCGAAACATATCATAAAGCTTCTCTGTTCCTTGATGAGTCTTAATGGTCTCGTTTGATGATGGGTGAAGAAACAGACAAGTTTGGGTCTTGGCATGTAAACAAGTCTGACACTGATCACTAAATCTTTTTCTGCACTCTTGTGTTCCTCCAAAGATGGAATGCCACAGAGATGCTGGAGAAGCTGAGAGGAAAAAGACTGATGTTTGTGGGTGATTCTCTAAACAGAGGACAGTGGATATCCATGGTGTGCATGGTTCAGTCTGCCATTCCAGATGGGAAGAAATCTATGACACCAAATGCAGCTTTAACAATCTTTAGGGCAGAAGTAAGCTGCCATTTTGCTTCGAGAATCCTCTCTGTATAGCCATAAGCATCTTAGAACTTGCATCAAGCTCATCTTTTTCTTGATGTATCTTAACACATTCTTTATAGGAATATGATGCCACGATAGAGTTTTACTGGGCACCACTGCTTGTGGAATCAAATTCTGATGACCCAGTGAACCACAGATCAAATGACAGGATCATCAGACCAGATGCGCTGGGCAAGCATGCAGGTCAGTGGGAGAAAGCAGACATTCTTGTCTTCAACTCTTATCTATGGTGGAGGAGTGGCCAAAAGATTAAGTTATTGTGAGTATAGAACATCCTTCATTATCCTTAAAGAAGTATCGGTGAAGCATGTCATCATCAGTCGCTTCTCAACTCTCTGGTGAAGGTGGAAACCTGATGATGATGGGATCTGTGAAGAGGCCAATGGACTGGATGCCATGAAGTTGGCCATGGAGGCGTGGGCGGATTGGGTTGCATCCACCGTGAACCATTTGGCACAGAAGGTCTTCTTCGTCACCATGTCACCTACACATCTCTGGTGAGCATATCATGCTGTAGGAACAATGTCACGTAGCATAAGCTTTTCATGTACATGAAAGAAGCATATGCTCACTTACCTTTTCTCCTTGTTGTCCTCTTAATTTCCCAACCTGAAACACTGTCATCATTCCAGGAGCAGGGAGTGGAATCCAGGAAGTGAGGGGAACTGCTTTCAGGAGACAAACCCTATCAACGAGGAAGGTTACTGGGGAAGTGGATCTGACATGCACACCATGCAAATGGTGGGAAGCATTCTGGGCAGGCTGCAGACAAAGGTTGTGGTGCTGAACATTACTCAGCTATCAGAGTACAGGAAAGATGGGCATCCTTCCATCTACAGGAAGTTTTGGGAGACACACAGCCCACAGCAGCTAGCAAATCCTGTTAGCTATGCTGACTGCATCCACTGGTGCTTGCCAGGAGTCCCTGATGTTTGGAATGAGCTGCTGTTCAACTCTTTGTGAGATGTAGATACAGAATCTCTGGGTATTTACTACTATTGAAAAGAAAACTACGAGAAGAAGAAAGCATACATAATAATAGGGTTCTTTTTTCTCTCATGTACAGAATTGAGCAAAAAAGCTGAGGCTTCCATGACTGAATGAACTGTGGACTTCTATTAGAGTCAACTGAGGAGTCTTGGCATTAGATATTGCAGGGGAGTTGACTTTCTCTCTAGATTCTTCAAGTGGATTTTGTTTTTTCCATTGTGCAGAGGTGCATGTATCAAAGGCTTAATCAGCTTAAGATTTATCTAGTGGTTTTCAGATCTTACTGTCCTGTTGAATCAATTAGGAAGATACATGTATATTATTTCTGGAAATAGCATGTTTTCTCCTTTGAATTAATTATATATATATATATATGAGTTAATAGAAGAAAAAGAGGAAAATAAGTTGTGTTATTATTAGAAAAGAAGTAGAAAGGTCATTTGCAATTTTGGTGATTCTTTGAGCTCTTATTCACTGTTAAAATTATCTATCTTTTATTTGCTTTTTATTATGACAAAATTATATCTTTTGTATTTATTTTTTACAATTTTGATTTTAATTGTTGGCCATAAATTCATATATGTTTCACGAAGATAAACTCAAATTAGCTAATATTAGTTACTTCATTTGAGATTTGTGGATGTTTGTTAATGGACGGGAGAATCTTAATATTTAGAGAAAATATATATTATATTTGGATTTTACACGTTATTTTTAAGCATTTTCAGGGATAGATACGTAAAACTACGTGTATTAAACTGACACATCTCCGACTTGAGCGAAGATGGACGGACCCAATTGAGACTCGCTTTGGTTTCTGTCGATGGCATCCGCTGCGCCGCCCATCCTCCCCGTGTCCTCCGCGGGCGGCGGCGGGGCCGCCACTGCCTCCGCCCCAGCGATCTCTGTCCCCGCCCTCCGCCTATTCCTCTCCCGGCTCTCCGACTCCGCCCGCCGCTCCCTCGCCCACCGACGCCCCTGGTCGGAGCTCCTCGACCGCACCGCCTTCGCCCGCCCGGACTCCCTCTCGGACGCCGCCTCCCGCCTCCGCAAGAACCTCGCCTACTTCCGCGTCAACTACCTGGCGCTCCTCGCCGCAGCCCTCGCCCTGTCCCTGCTCTCCCACCCCTTCTCCCTCCTCCTCCTCCTCGCGCTCCTCGCCGCCTGGGCCTTCCTCTACCTCTTCCGCCCCGCCGACGCCTCCCCGCTCGTCCTCTTCCGCCGCCCCTTCTCCGACCGCGAGGTCCTCGCGGGCCTCGTCCTCATCACCCTCCTCGTCGTCTTCCTCACCTCCGTCGGATCCCTCATCGTCTCCGCACTCACGGTCGGCGCCGCCATCGTCTGCGTCCATGGCGCCTTCCGGTTGCCGGAGGACCTCTTCCTGGACGAGCAGGACCCTGGGGGGCCCGCCGGCGGCCTCTTGTCGTTCCTCGGCGGGGCCCCGGCCTCCTCCGGCCCCGCCGTCCTCGTCTGACGTGGATCTGGTGAGCACAAATAGTTAATTCTCGGATCTAGGGTTTCCTTCTACTCCCGCATTCTTCTTGAAACTGATCGACATTGAATCCTTCGATGGATGGTTTGCTCGTTCTTTCCGTTACTTGGTTTAGATCTTGAACTTTGTTAACGCGTTCTATCTATAATTTCTTTTAGATCTGCTAAATTTGTTGATCTCTTGGAATTTTTATTATCTTGATTTAATACTGCTGCGGGTTGAGATCTGGCAATCAACACATTGCTTTGTTTGCCTCGCTCAGTGTCTTGCAATCACATTATATATACGCTATTAATATTAATTTGGTTAATTTTTAGATTATCAAATTTGATGACTACTCATAGAAGAATAAAGTTAAATTTAATAGAACCTAATAAACAAAAAAAATTATTGAACATTATTACATCACTTTTCACATGTATAATCATATTAAAAGAAATATCTGCAGAGTTAAACTTGTAATACTAAGTAAACAATTAAATTAAATCCAATAAATCACATAGAAAGACATAGCATAGAACATATGAGTTTACTTTAATTACACAAGATAATGTAACTAATAATCCCCATGGTATTAAGGTTCATCATTAATTTTTGTGCTCTTTGACAACATATTCAGCAACTGAGCCCATTATATGTCTCCATAAATTCTATTACTCCCACAGTTGATCTCACCTTCTTGGACGCCTAATATCACTGTCACCCTATTTACTAGTTTAAAATATTCAGCAAATGCTTCCTTCATAATTCAATTCACCTGATGCAATATTTGTGTGTCTTAAACCAACAATTTTTTAACTCATCCCTTTAGATCCTTAATATGTTTTTGAACAAACAATGAGAGGTCACTGTCTATTTTTTTTTTTCTATCGACAAATAAGTTATCTTCACCAGACTTCCTGAAGTTCATCAAAGGCAGGCTGTACATTCCCTAATCCAATTAAGGTTTAAGTTGTTTCATTTGCTATGAAATGTTTATAAATAATCACTAGACTATTAGCAAATAATGCATCTTCACCAGGCTTCCTGAACGTCTAAAGTTCATCAAAGGTATGTTGTACGTTCCCAATCTAATTGAGGTTAAAGTGCTTTTTCGTAGATATATCTATTTTTAAATTTTATTTCACGAATTATATCAAAATATTCCACAAACTCTTTTCTTTTACTCATCACATGAAACTCATACTCTTAACCAAAATAATAAATAATAAATAAGTATTAACAAAAAATATATATTATCTAAATCAAGTTCATCATAAGTTACTTTTCAAGAATCAAAAAAAATATCCTGTTTCAGTTAT